GTGGGAATGGGTACCCGGCTATAGACAGCGAAAGATCTTGTCAGTTTGTTAGTGTTTGAGCGCTTAATCAGCTGCTTGCACTTGAGAATGTTTCGGAGTGTTCTATGATCTGCTGGGGTAATAATATAGTGTAAAGCGCATAGAGCCTGCTGTTGAGCGGGGATATGCGCTATACAAATGCTATTTATTATTATTATTATTTACATGTGAGAACCCTATGGGGAAAACGGCATTAATTAGTCACCGGAGAAGTATTGAGGACAGCTGTCTTTCTCTCGTGTGTTTATATGGACTGCTGCCATTCTTTCCATGCTTTACTTGCACGACTGTTTTCAGTATTATGTCACTAGACTAGTGAAATGGTTTATACAGCCGTTTTAAATTTTATTAACGGCACATGAACTTGCCAAACAATAGATCAAAACAGACAAATGTACACATGGACAATTTTGACTAATGTCATTTTACCCCTCTACTCTTCGTCATCATATTATATGAAATTGATCAAGGTCGTGGAAATAATTGAGATTTTAGTCTCTCAGTTCAAGGAAGTTGTCCCTGAGATACACCCGTTTTGGAAGTGGGATGACTTTAGTTAATGGTGTGACCTCGGCAAACAACGGAATACAAAGTGTCTAGATTTTGGAAGGACTTTCGTAAGGAGCGACCACCCCCAACAAACACAATAAAGAAGACCTAACCCGAACTGGAACCCTAACGCCGTAACCCCAGCCTCAACCCTAACCCTAACCTTCTTCTCTATTGGCATACTCTATTTCCTTGGTGGTCGCTCGTTGGTGAATTCTTCCTTAGATGTTTACATCAAACTATAGACGATGCAAAATGTATGTAAAACGTGCTGTTATTGAATGCGGCCCAAGCTGTTTTTAAGCACAAGCTGTTATGTGTACATGTTTTTAGCAACTGATCACGACTTTGAAATGGGTTTAAATCGACTACGTCCATCTTGTGACAGCTTTTTTTTCTGTTGACAGCGATTGAAAAAATATTATAATATTACCCATAGTTATCAATTTTTTAACATGTGAAACTCTAAGCCCGATCTGTTTCTCTTGCCTCCCTCTGCACTATCAATGCCTGCCGTCTTGCTTTTTTTCAGTCGGATCGTAATACATTGTAGAAAAATAATTGTATCATCTCTCTTCGTTTCCAAAATTACCCAACAAAAACATTGATGTTGAAAAGAGGGGGAAAGAGAGCGCCGATTTGCGTTAGTTGTGCTTGTTACTTCTGCTATGTGCACATTTTCAACGAGGCCAGTCTTCTGGATGGGATCGGGGCTGGAATCTATGTGGCCGGTGTGCACTTATCAAACTAAAATCGGCTTAAATAAAGTTTTGGCGTACACGATATTAACGGTTTTCCGAGAAGTAAGCCCAGGGTATTACTCATGATCCAATGAGCAGGAGCCTTGCTTAATAAAGTGCGTGTTCGATCGAACGTCCCTGACAGACAGACACCCCTTTGGTTAAAGGAATGTTAACAATTCTCGTGACAGAGTAGGTTTTAATTGGTGGTGGGAAAAAAGTAAACCCATGGTTTTGTTGTTGTTAATTTTATTTTTATTTTGTTATTAAATTTTGTTGTCCTGGTTTTTCATAATCTTTGTCATGATCATTCAACCTTTTGATGCTTGGCGCCCAACGCATACATTATTATATTTTTGTGTTTTTGTTTAAAGGTAGCTCCTCCTCGGAAGGTTGGAGGGCGCCGCTGGTAGCCCCTACTTCACTACTTCTTTACTTTGCCTCTGTACCCCCCGGGGCTGTGCCACTGACTGTAGTGTCCTTAGGCCATTCCCAAAGGGGGGACATTTCTCGTTCAAGCATAGTTGAATTGTAAATGGGCTGACTCATGTCACGCTCATAAATATGCCTGATCTACAACAGGGAACTGCTGCTTTTTCTTTCCTGATCCTTACTATTGTCATTTTCCTCAACTTCTTTTGTATTTTTGTCACTCTCTTGTGACCTGCTATTTCCGGGGTGCCTTGATAGTTGAAGCTATTGAAGCTAGAGAGGTGAGCAGTCTGATTCCCTGTAAAGGCTTCTCTGTTGACAACCACCCCTTGGCGCTCATATGACCTTATGCAGTTGCGAGTGCCGTAAAACCCTCTACTATTAAAAAAAACCATAATTGCTTCTGTTGTTTCTGTATGTACGTCTTGCCCCTCACTAAATGACTGCAATTGTGTCGATTTTCTTTTCTTTACTCAAACAAATAAATTCAAAGTCATACGTAGCCTCTCCCGGCGTTCCCCCCCCCCCCTCCAACTCCTGCGGTTCCGTTGAACGCCCGGCGGAGCCCCCTCGGCTTAAACTCGTTAACGGACTCAACGAGTGCCTGGGTACTCATTAGTTAGCACGGCTGTTGAAGACTTGCAGTTCTGTGTTCGGTGCGGACGTTCCCGGTCCAGACGCAGCCGCTGGGCTGTCCTCTGTTTGTGCTGGCGTGGCTCGATTTCGCTGTCACGTCACGAAGGTGTGTGGTTCCCGCCGTGGTCGGGTGGGCAGAAACAATAGTTACGGGTACGATCTCTGTGGCTTATGCAGGGATTTGCACGCAGCTCGGACCCGCCGCAGGGCAGTCAGTCAGTGAGGCAGGCTGGTATAAGACCCCCAAACCCCGGCCGAGTGTTGGTGGTTAGCAGGTGCTTAATGGTGTGGTTTGCTACTTTTTCGTATCAAACAACTATCCCCCTCATCTCTCTTCCTTTCTTTTTTTTTTGTATTTGTTGGTGGTTGGCGTGTGCTCTAGTGTGGTTTCTGCTTCTTTCCAATCAAACAACTGTCCTCCTTATCTCTCTTCCTTTCTGTTTTGTGTTTGTTACTCTTTTGTAACACCCCTAATCATCGGTAACTGTATGACCTAATTGTGTCGCAAGTGCAGTAAAATACTTACTAAACAAAGACCCCCAAACCCTGAATAGGCTCTTTAAATTGAAGACAAACCATCGGCTTTCGTGGTGTAGCGGTCAGGGGTTCTATAGTCGTCTCGGGTAATAAACGTGGGTTCGAAATGCCAGCCCCTGTGGTGAAGTGGTTATGTATGGGCGCGTCGTCCCACGCAGGAGACGTGAGGGGGCTCTTGTGGCCTAGAGGTTAAGGTGTTCACCTCTCATTCAAAGGTCCCGGGTTCGAACCCGGGTAGCGACTGAAAAGTTTTCTTCTCTAAAATTGTCTCCTTCCACCTTCTTTTCTTCTCTCTTGCAATATTCAGTCGTCTGCTTTCGTCTCCACTTTCTCCCCCCACCCCCTCACCTCCTTTGCCCCTCCACTGCAGCCTGTCTACTACTACTCCTTCTTACTGCTGACTTTAAGCCACAGCCCTGATCTTCTGGTAGGAAAGATCTACACCTAGCCTCCTCGGACAAGGGCGAAAAATGTCGGAGGTCCCTTGGTGCTCCAAAATCAATAAGAGTAGGCTTCGGCCGCCACTCGGGCAAAATTCAAAATTTCCTACCAATTGAAAATATTTGGTGTGTCCCGCGCGCTCATATGACCCTATGCAGTTTCGAGCACCGTAAAAACACTTACCGAGGGGGGGAAAGGAGACATGAGTTCGAAATACCGGGGTCTGTAATGTAGCAGTTAAACGTTTAGCTGTCGCACACAGAAGTCGAGAGCTCTTCTCTTGTGCTGAGAGAATTTTTTTTTGTCGAGTGTCTCCGTATTGTTGCCTGGATATTGTATCCCTCTAAACGCGGGTTGGCTCTGACAGGCAGGGTCGAAGCAGCCCGCCTCTGAAATGATCTAAATAGTGTCAACGGGAGCGTAAAATCGGTACAATTACGTACAGTGTAATTTCAGACGATAAACCTTGACAGGGACAAGTGCGGAGGACGAGGTTATTGTGAAGTGTGGGGGTAAGCAGAAACGGCACCGGTAACCAATATTTGCGCGGTTTGCAGACTGCCAATTCGTTGAGATCGAAAAATTTGACCTGTGCGTCGTGTGTGACGTCATTATAAAAGGCGGAGGCGAA